TCGTAGTTTCTTTACAATTCTAAATTAGTATTAATGTTGTTAATGAGTACATGTAGTGTACGTAGATCTGCATCTTCAAGATAGCGCTATATTGTCAATTTAATTTGTCATTAACTCGACCTGATGGAGCTTTAATTGGTTCAAAGTTTTTAATTCTATTTTATTATTTATATGCGTACCTATCTTTTTAACATCAATAAATAGAATTTGGATTCAATGGGTCCCAACGGCCATTATAACCGTAAATTAGGAACATCAGGGAGATGTTGTCAATATACCGCAGTTGATCTGAACTCCAGTAAATGACAAACTAACTCAATAATTAAACATGTGGCCAGCTGTACTTGGTGGTGCTTTGCTTTAAAAAAAGCAAGCATTTAATTTGACACAATGTTGATTACGAATTCAGTTTTTTGGTTAGGGCAAAATTCATTCGAGCCTGCTTTTACAGCCTTATATTAAAAATATTTATGCGGTTGGAACAGTATGAAGGTGGGCTTATCCTGATGAAAGCCGATCTCGTTGATTCCATGTCCATCAATAACATAGGTTTATGATGTCCAAAGAAAAAATCAAGGAGGGATGACTTTTTCCCTTCCAACCCGACCATTTTTGTATTTATTTCACGTGAACCAATGCAACCCTCTAATAACAATAACGATGGAAAAAGAAAAGAACATGCTGTTTTGAATTTGTTTTCATCGTTGTTGGCTTGTTTGTATTTCATTGGGGTTGGCAAGGGACTGTTGGGACCACGGTCACAATTTGCAACCGATGTTATACTCCAGCCCTATTTTTCTTTTAACTTTGTACAAATAGAATTGGTAGCCAGCTGGCCAAAAATCTTATAACTGTTCAACAAAGCTTAACTCTCTCTGTAGTTAGGCAACATAAAAACAGACCTAGAAAACAAAAAGTAGGAGTAAACCATTTTCCATGAATGTAGTCTATGTGCATATAAAAGCTGGATTTGATGAAAAGTGAAAAAGACCAAATGTCGTTTGTGAGCATTCAATTTTGGCTTTTTCAACAAGACAAACTGTGGTGAATAATTGGAGACGAATTGAAGAAAGCAACTGCGGGTTTAACTTTCTAGCTAACACATTAAATAGCATTCATGAAGCATGATCGATATATATGGTCCCAGAGCTGCTGCAAATTCATCTATCTAGTTGACCATTACTGCCATGTGCCATGGGGATTTGGATTTTTATATGGGTCTCGGTCACGGGCACTAGTTCTTTTATTATTTGATGAATTTGCCTTTGACAATTATTTTCTCACTTCTCTTAGATCACCCGTATGTGCATGGATTGTCCAATCCCATTCCACCCATCTTCTTCATCGGCCCAATTGTGTTGCTTTAGGTTGGGCTTTATTTTCTCAAAAGTAAGAAGTTGGGATCCAAGAATCTCCGGATCACCTGCCAATACAATACATTTCAACTCTCTACCAACTTTATCTCCCATTTTCATGATAAGATGTGCGGTGTTAGATTAAGTTAGTAGGAGGTTGGAATGTGTGTTGTTGGCAGATCCCAATTCTCCTACAACGGTGAGCCAAAATGTACAGTCCTTTCAAGCCTGGGACCCAGATTAATTACCTCAGCTTTAAGCAATTGTTTTCATCCATTTCAATAATTGTTGATATAGTAGGACTAGGAAGGAAAAGCTGATGTGGATAGAGATATTACCTATATGGCCTCTCATTAACTGATACGTACACGGTCTGATTTAGCCATACCATTCATTCACGTGGCTAAGAATTTACTAACAAATTAAAATCTTGTTTTTAGTATTTTTGAAAATTTATACTATGAAAATTGAAAATTAATCCCCTATTATCTAATTTATTATTAGTAAAATATAAAAATTTGCATGTCATATACGTATGTATATACTGTGTATGAGAAGGGATGGGACAAGTAGTGGAGAGTCATGCGGACCTTGGATCTATGTATATGGCTCCTCTGCATGTAGCCTGAAAAGTCCGCCTTCCCTATAGAATAATATCTTAGGCCCCATTTGTTTTTTAGGTAAGTTCTTTATCTGGGTAAATGTATTTAATGGGTTAGTTTTTCTTGGTAAAAATTTATTTATGTTCTTTTATTTCTTATATAAATAAGCAATCACCATTTTAACCATAAAAATGGATTAACAAAAGGGGGATTTTTGTTCCATTCAAGTATTGACAACTTTCCCCCTAGGTGGAAAAGTTATTTTTACCCACCTAGGAGATGGGTATCACTTACCCGGATAAGTGATACCTAGGAAAATAAACTTTGCATAGTCCCCACATCAATCTGAAAAAAGAACATGAGATTCTTGGTCAATGGGAACCAAAATCTCATTGACCAACATTCCCCCCCTCAAAATCCAAAAAAAGAACACCCCCTTAAGGCCTTGTTCACTTTTCAGTAAGTTACTTACCCAGGTAAATGCAATTACCTGGGAAACACTTACCTGGGTAAGTGCATTTACCCTATCCATGCTCTTTTATTTCTCAAGTAAATAAGGTAATGACCATTTTAGTCATAAAAATCCATTATTAAAAGGGCATTTTTGTCCCATTTAAGTGTTAGCAACTTTCCTCGTAGGTGGGAAAGTTATTTACCCACCTAGGAGATGGGTATCATTTTCCTGGGTAAGTGATACCTAGGAAAATAAACATTCCCTGGTCCCCACATTAATCTGAAAAATGAACATGGGATTCTTGGTCAATGGGAACTAAAATCCCATTAACTAACTTTCTCCCCTCTCAAAATCCAAAAAAAGAACGCCCCCCAAATGTAATGACTTGATGGGTGGCCTTTTGCTACTCGACATCAACTAGCCAGTTAAGAGATTCGGCAATCAATCGGGATGTCGGATTGTTAGAGCCGAAGGACCAAGGAGACCCTCGGAAAAGAAATCCATCACTCATTTGCTAGGATTGTAATGAGTTCACACTGGTGCCCACCACATAGCACATCCCAATCGTGTATTGGAAACATCTCCCAATTACAAGCACAGAAGTTGTTTCCAATGCATGCTGATGTGATCTCGATTGTAATCAAATCGGGTATCATATTGGTTAGAGGTGTGATGTGGGTCTTGTCGGGACCACTTTTGTAAGCCATGCTAGGCCTGGTTGGGTTGGGCCACGGGCTAGTACGATTTATTTTTTAAATTGAAAAATAATAAAAAATTAAAATAAATTAACAAGATAAATAATAAATAAAAAAATCTTAAAATTTTATTCTATATGAATTTTGATGTATACAATTGTTTATATATGAAATAATAAAATGAATAAAAATTATTATAAAATTAAAAAGAATTATATACATAGGTATATACATACATACATACATACATACATACATAAACCCTTGCCCCAGCCTGGCTTGGGGGTCATGATGTGCCCGATCCATTTACACCTCTAATATTGGTTATGCTTAGATCCAAAATTCCAAATTTGATCCTTTACTATTCAAATATAAATCAAATCTTATCCATCTCCGTCATAATCATATTGGACAATAATTGAATAGGATATTCAATATAGTCAATCAAAATAGTAAAATGAAATTAATAACAACAAAATTAAAATGAAAGTGACTAAAGCATTACATATTATTAAAAGTGATATTGATATTGTATATAGGGCTTAATTTGGGAAGAGTGCAAATACAAATATGTACAGAGCCAAACCTTATATATGATATTTCTAAACTTAGTATTTGCACTCTTCTCAAACTAAAAATAGTGAACAAAATGATAGATTTTTCTTTTTAGAATGCTAGTGTATTCACTTGTACTTGGTTAGATAGCAAGTAATACATAGTGGTCGAGCAGCATTGTTGAAACGTATGTATAGATTGAATGAAAGTGTAAGAATTAATACATAGTGGTTTTTAAGATGTATTAATTTTTGCCTAGACTATAAAATTTAAATCAAAGTATTGGAATTCATAACATATAAATTTTTTTTTATTGATTTTCTTGTAAATAAGGCTCGATTTGGAAAAAATACAAATACAAATATGTACAATATAAATACATACAAAATAATATAAAATACAATATTTTACAATTTATATATTTGTATTTATATTCTTTCTAAACTTAGCCTAATAAACAATTTACTCCTTTGTGTATGAAAAATGAAGCTCGATAGGTAATTACAGTTGTCATTACTGGTTAATAATTGGTTGGTTCTGGGTTCATTTTATCGAACCGATTATAAATCAGTTTAAAACTGATCCATCCTGTGTCGAACCAGAACTGACCCATTGTCAGCTTCAAAATGGGGCTAGTTCATCTGTGCGGTTGATCCGAAACTTTAAAAATGGGCTGGCACAATCTCGAGATGTGGTGTAATATGCACATCATGATATCAGGGCACATTATAATTATTAATTTTTTATACGTACCCTAATACGAAGAAAAGGTGTTGACTTTCAATTGTTTTTTTCTTTTAATAAAAGAGGAAACGGTTCTGTTGAGGATCGATGTTGAAATCATCCTCGAAAATTATAACAAGGAGACGTGGACTTATCATCCAACGGTGAGGAGTGAGGACGACCGTTTTCTTTTTCACCATATCTGGGGATCAGTCATGACCAAACTTAAACTCGGATCGCCCCTGTTACTAGTTACTAACTTACTACCTGGAGGTTGGAGTAAGCTGAAAAGGAAAGCTAGCCCGCGGCAAAAGGCGACTGAACAAATGAAAAGAAGAAACGGTAAAGGAATCAAGGTGAATGAGTGAGTGACAAATGAGAAGAAAACATCTCAAGGGTCTGAAAAGGAAAGCGCAACAGCCACCCCCAGACTGTGATGCTCTTTTAAAACACCAAATAATCTTTCTGTTTGCTCGTGACCACCACAACTAACCTCTACCTATTTGTCTCAGCGGTTTCCATTCTGTACGATTTTCTATAACTCCTCCAGGAACCAGCGAACCAGCTCTCTCTAGCCGGCCAGTAGCCTCTTCCCTCTTGTATATATATATATATATATATATATGTTGTTGTTGTTTCACTCATTCATTCATGAACACGAGTCCTATTCTTTCTGTTCTGATAAAGAAAAACACTAAGCATTAGCAAGGGTCAATTTCCAATGGCTATGCTCACTATCCTATCTTTCTCTACTAAATTTCTGCCTTTCATCTTTCTCATTCTTCTCTCATCTTCCCTTCACGTACTCCCCGATGCTTCCGCTTCTAACAGAGAAACGCTCGAGATTATTATAGGTGGCGGCGGTGGTGGTTATTATGAGGACTGTCCACCACCACCTCCTCCTCCAGAACCCGAATGTCCACCTCCTCCTCCACCACCGTCTCCACCACCACCGTCTCCACCTCCGCCGTCTCCACCTCCGCCGTCTCCACCTCCGCCGTCTCCACCTCCGCCGTCTCCACCTCCGCCGTCCCCGCCCCCACCCTCACCCTCACCCCCACCACCGTCTCCATCTCCGCCCCCACCACAGAAGTCAAGACTTGAAATGGTCAGGCCTTACATTGAAAAGTTGCGGAAAAGAATCACGGGCGACCCAAAACACATCTTAAGAACCTGGAAGAAGGACGGTGATATTTGCCAATACACAGGCTTATACTGCGAAAAGGTGCCAGATTACAAAGAACAGGCACTCGCCGGTATCGACTTCAACAGTTACAATCTTAGCGGTCCCAACTTAACACTTGATGGCATCATCGAAAATCTCGTCGACCTCGCTATTTTCCACGCCAACTCCAACAGGTTCTTAGGTGAGATCCTATCCAAGATTCGAAATCTGCGATATTTCTACGAGCTGGACCTAAGCAATAACAATTATAAGGGCGAGTTCCCAAAGGCTGTCCTCACAGCTGCAAACCTGAGCTTCTTGGACCTCCGGTTCAACAAATTTCATGGGTACCTCCCGCCTCAAGTCTTCAACCTGGGCAAAATCGATGTTCTCTTCGTCAACAACAACTACTTTTATGGTCCGATCCCCTATAACCTGGGCAGCACACCAGCCCGTTATCTAACTTTTGCCAACAACCAGTTCAGTGGTTCCATACCGCCAAGCATTGGTAAGGCCAAGGATACCTTAGTTGAGGTTCTCTTCCTCAACAACCAGTTGTCGGGGTGCCTACCTTACGAGATCGGCTTCTTGAAAAAGGCAACGGTGTTCGACGCCGGGAACAACCACTTGACGGGTCCGATACCCTACTCGTTCGGGTGCTTGGAGAGGATGCAGTTGCTAAACTTTACTGGGAATAAATTGTACGGGCCGGTGCCGGAGGTGGTATGTGGGCTTCCCAGCCTGGCAAACTTTTCTCTATCGGACAATTACTTCACGCAGGTGGGTCCCAAATGTAGGGAGTTGATCAAGAAGGGAAAACTTGATATACGTAATAACTGCATTCTGGACCTACCGTCACAGAGACCTGCCGACCACTGTGAGAAGTTTTTCTCCAGTAATCCAAAGTACTGCTCCGACCTGAAGACCAATACTATGATTCCATGCAGGCTTCGTCCCTATTCTGAGGAAACCTACTCCACACCTCCGGCAACTGCAATCAGTCCCTCGCCTTCTTACAATGCTCTCATAAAGCATCGGTTATGACGGAAGTAGCTAGTAGCTACACCTACACCCTCGCTCCATGCATCCATCAATTGTCCCTGTATTTCGGTATTAATTCCTCCACTTGTACCTCTACTGTAAACAAAATTAAGCAAAATAATGGACGCACGTCTCGTTACAAATCCAGTGTTTATATTGTAATTGTAATAGCCTAAGCAATCGCTCCGGTGTAACAGTCGGACGCGCACATGCAGCAAATATGTATACTACTACGTATTACTACTACTACTTTTAAACAAGATAACCGTAATTCGTGTGCAACAATTTCCTTTATTTCTTTCTTTTTTTCATGGTAAATTTTTTAAACTAACCTTATGGTTTACTTAAGGGTTTCTTGTAGATAAGGGCAGCTTTTTGCCCCAAATTTCAATAAAAGATAATATTTTATAAAATAATAAAAATAATGGAGCTTTTTTTTTGAAAAATATAAAGAAAGGACAATGATACTGTTCATTGTCTTCCTCTGCGTCTGTGTTCATCCTGAACCTCACAACTGAATTGGAGCCAACCGCGGAGTCGTCCAAAACAATGTAATCGCATGTGCTCCTCATTAATGCACAGCACCCTCGACCAGTTAAACGATCTTACCCGTTCGAGCTTCAAACCCTTACTAAACCATGGAGCAGCGGAACGGCTGTATTCATCCTGAACCTCGTCAGCGGGACTGGAGCAGCAGCAAGGACCTCCTTGAAACCGCTGTATTTATCATGAACCGCTCCAGTAAGGGTTTCAAGGCGGAGACAACCGCTGTATTCGTCTTTCGGTTTTCGTCTTTGTGTTCGTGTTCGTGGCACAATGGAGACAATCGCGTTTGTGTTTCGGTTTTCCTTCACCGGTACAGAAAGGGAATTCCGGCCTCCATCACCAGAGGAAGGGCAGAGGAAGACAATGAACAGTATCATTGCCCTTTCTTGATGTTTTTCAAACAAAAAAGCTACCCTATTTTTGTTATTTTATAAAAATATTATCTTTTATTGATATTCAGGGCAAAAAGTTGCCCTTATCTGCTAGAAATCCTTTAGTTAATTGACTAAATGTACCGATAGTTTCTCTTAATATCCATTAACAAAAAGATAAATAAGACTGTTTTACCCTATAGATAAGTTTTTTTTTTTTTTGTAATCTACATAAGAATCACCACCTTTGAGCGGGACTATTATGCGAGATATTTTTTTTTTTTGGAATCAAGACGGTCGAGAGATAGAAGAGGAAAGGGAGAAAGAGGGAAAAGAAAAGGGAGAGACTAAGAGCATCTGGGTCGTGACTGGAAGGGACTGGCCATATTTAGAAGCCTTGACTTGCGGCTACAGTTGCCGCGGTGGAGGAAGAAGGAAGCTTGAGGAGGGAAAGAGAGAACTGAAAACGATGATCAGTTGATCCGAGATGGAAGACGATGAATAGTTGATCCGCCGAGGATTCATTGTTCTCGTCGGAAGAAGATGAACAGTTTACGATAACTACGATGGCAAGCTGCATTCCCCCAGCTTCAATGATTCCAACGAGGGGACCCTTGTGTTCAGCTGGTGGTCGTCGTGGGGGGACGACCACCAAGACGCAACCTCTCCCTCCCCACCCCAACACACGTTTGAGAAAGTTCGTCCCTATCCTCGGAAATGGGAAAATGGAATCATCTCAGGCATCAAAGAGCTCGCCCTCCATAGATCCCTACCAAATTCGACACCATGTGTCGGCGCTCGTTATCAGTGCCGGTGTCCACACCGGTAATCTCTTCCACGACTTCAGCAACGGGTTCGTCCCCCTTTTCGTCACCACCTGCTTGCTCACTCTTTTCTAGGATGGACTCCCATTATTGTCATCGCCAATTGACATGATTGGTGGCTTAGCAAATATGTCGAACTGCTTCGAAGCTTCAGCCCCTACCCGGTCATCAACCTCGACAACATTACCGCTACACATTGCTTCCCATCTGCAACTATGGGTCTCATATCACAAGGTTTTATGACGATCGACCCCACATTATTAGCCAATAAAGAGACGTTCCTTGATTTCTGTGCTCTGCTTAGTGTTTGCGAGGGGCCTCCTTTGACGATATCCTTGGCACGATAGTAGAAGTTGAAATCACTGGGGAAGATTTCTCTCCAATTGATATCTTAGATATCACTCTGGAACTTTCTAGAGTCGAAGATTTTCTCTCTAATTGAAATTTCTGACGACGATGCTTCTACGGGGGCTGCCGCTTTTGATAAGGCGCGAGGCATCTTCTCAGAACATCATCAATTTGTTTTTGGTGGCATCGTTAAGCCCCTCCAAGCGCTCCAAGCCCTTGGTCAATTTCGGTGGCATCGCTAATCTCTGAACAGGCTCTAAGAGGACCGCCCCCCCGAATGAGTGTTGGAGATAACCTTTTGGAACCTAAAAGGGCAAGTTGGGCATTTGAAAGTCATACTTGAACTGGAACATCAGTAAAGTATTTAGTTAGTTGTTAGAAATAACATAAATAACAATATTCAATACATTTAGTCAATCAAATTCAAGAAATTTATCTCTTTTTTAACTGTAGTTATATCGTAGCCTGTATGTACATAGTAGGTGGGACCATTAACATGCCTAATTTTTTTTTTTCCTCTCGTTTGCTTAAGCGACAAAATTATAAATGAAATTAATAAAGCAACATGCAGAGAAATAGTGGCCCAGTCGGGTGGGGCGTGGGGGTGGCATGCACTAACAAAAACCTGTCTTATTATTTGTTTATATCTTAGCATCTACAACTACATTTAGTCATTTTACGTGTGTACAAGTACAAATTCCAGCTAAGGCAGCATGGATTCTTTGGGACTAGACTAAAGCACCTCTACCGACAAATACAGATTTTGACAAGTCAGAACTTGTCAAGACACTGCCGTACCCCGTACGTGAATTTCCAAATGCTTGGGTTTGTTAAGATATGGAGCCAACTGCCAAGCTTAATTTAAAATGGTAAAAGCCTGCAAGTTCATCGAGCCCAGTCCGGCCCACACCACACCCCCACCTATCTACAGGATACCACAGCTCAAACTAGTTTATTAACAATTCATTCACTGGACATGAAAGCAGCAAGCAACTACCCTTCTGCAAAAATAAAAAGAAATTATTAAAGCATTTGCCATATCTACAATAAGCTCTATAAAAGTGTGCTGGGACCGGGAGACACCCACTTCTTGTAACAGAGAAGAAATAAATAATTAATTTGTTATACCAATTAGTGGTGCATGCATGGCTGGGTGAACTGACATCTTTGTACGTGGACACCCAAAAGTCTTCTCTATACGTAGCAGCCAGCCTAAAACTAAACTAGTTATTGTGGTTAATGAATTCCATCCGTATACACTTGTATACTATAATAAAACTAATCTTATCCTCTTAAAAAAAATTATATAAGTGTTCCGTCTGAACCCAATATTAATTTTGTTCCCCGAAGGCTTGGTTTGTTAATTTGCATTGCAAATCTGCATCCAATACAAATTTATTTTGTCTTTGCTTTAGTTTTGCATTCTTTTGTTTGTAGTTACTCCTACCTGATACAAATTTTTCTACTTCTTATCTCATCTCTACTTACTATTCTACCTCAACTGTCTCTCATATAAAGTGGGGACTACGGCCATGTTTGGGAGTACCTAAACATAAGTGTTTATATGTCCAAATTTTCAATTTTTAAGTGCTCATTGTATAAGCATTTTTTCATTTTTTTTTCTTCCAAAATTATCTCCAGTTGAATTTTATAAAAGTACTTTTGTAAAAGTGATTTCATAAAAACATTTTTATAAAAGTATTTCTGTGAATATACTCTCATAAAAGTGCTTTCGTAAAAGTGCCCCTACCTCATTCCCAAATGAATAACCCTCCTATTTCCATTTATTTTACATATACAGTAGAGACTTCACACTTCATTTTACTTCCTATTTACGTGTATTCCTCACAAACAAATAAGACACAATGCAAAATGCATGGGAGTGCAACTAGGCTTAGTCCAGATTCTAGTTACTTTTATTGCAAGTTTGACTTTGCCTTATTTGTTTTTGAGAAGTAAAATGAAATGATTCCCACTTTATGTGAAAGATAGTGGAAATAAGAGGGAATTGTTCATTTGGGACTTGGGAGTGTTAAAAACAAAAGCAAGATGACATGATTTCCATCTTATATGAAAACGAATTGAGGTAGGAGGAAGGCAGTATAAATTTTGCATCAGTTTTTAGGATGCAAAATCTGCACTGCTATCAAGTGCAAATAAAACAAAAAGTATAGATTTTGTATCTTATAAAAGTGCAAATCATAGCTACAAGCCTACAAACAAACAGGTGCGAAACTGCAAATAAACAGAGCCAGTGCAGATTTTATCTTCACTGAAGGATAAATAAAGTCGAGAAAAAATTTAAACATGGGTAGTGAAGTAATTAAGATTTAAAAGATTGATAGGTTTAATAGTAGAACATATTATTAAATCAACCATATTCTATGTGAAATTGTGAAGGCCTTGATTCTGGAGCACTTCAACATTCTGGGTTGCCAAAGGTGGTGAATGCACCTCTTTTAGTAATCTGTGACGCTCAGATTCTTTGCTACGTTACTTGATACTTTCAGACTTGGATTATATTTCACCTCATCTTTGGTTCATCTTAGGCCCCGTTTGGTTTGTGGGAATAGGAGCCTGAAATCAGAATGGGAATGGTTCATTTCATTTCTAACTGTTTGGTTGAACAGAATCGGAATCTTATTCTCATTCCAGCTGGAATGGTCATTCCCTGCCCCTCTTTTAGGAAAGAAATCCCATTTCTGCTGATTCTAATTCCCATTTTCATTTTTATCTGAACCAAACAGATTATGGAAATAGACCATACTGATTCCGATTCCAATTATAAACCAAACGGACCCTTAATTTCTTCAATCTCAGACTGGCCTCTTTCTGTAAACCCATTTCACGTGACTGTTAAGTCCAATCCAATCCTAGCAACTAATTTCCCACTTTCATTGGACGAAATGGGCTTCAAGGCCCATGATGAAAACTAACCTTGTCGTGGTTAGGCAAATCCAAAGGCCTCTTAAGTCTCAACCTATACATGAATCTTGGGGCTAAAGATCTCATTGAAGCAATGATACAATACCACCTTAGCAGTATTGCATTGAGAACTTTTGCACAAATGATTGCTTTTGCAAAACAGCAGTTAGCAGCGCAAGTGTACCTAGCAGCACTGCATTTCACAATAACAATTCAAAATTATAAATTCCGATCTGATACCTACCCCAACTGTGTGTGTGAACTGAACAGTAAAAACCCT